TCAGAATGTCCCTGCCACATGGAAACAGATGTGTAAATGAATCAGGAATCTCAATCCTGGTATTAACAAACTAAGGGGTAATTTAGGGAAAGCTGGGCTTGTTCCAAATGCCCATAATTCTAAATCTCATTACTATTTAAACTTTCCTTCTCATAAGTTTGATTCACAACTACATTGGATTCCAAAGAAAACTAATAGTACCTTAACACTATCCACCGTCTTTAATACACACACTCAGGCGAGTGCAAAAACAGAACATTGTACTCAAATTGAATGCTAAATTATTGCTGATAACTTACTAGTTATTGCCATTTGCAATTAGAAAGTCCAAGTTACAAGTGAGAGTGCAGAGCTCTGACTCCAGGAAACCTGCGCAGGGCACACCTCAGTCTCCTTCCTGTTCAGCCTCAGTCAATGGTAAGAGCTTATCGCAAGTTATTGCCTTTCTATTGTTTTTAAAATATAACCTATTTCACTTTATTCTTTTTTTATTCTTTTTTTCCCTTTTTATTAAGGAATCCGTTCATGTTGGAAGCCCAGATCCCCAACATATGCACTAGTGGTGGGCTCTGGGAAGTACCAGTCACCAGAGTCTGAAGTTCATCACTTGAATTTAATAGCCAGGTGGCCAGGTCCTGGCAATGGCCAGGGGAAACCTAAGCTGGCCCAAGAGCCAATGGTTAAGGAAGAGGAAGGTCAGAAGGACTAGTGAAAGTGGGACTCCAGCTGCCCTTCCTCACAGAGAACTTTCTAGGTGGCTTCACTCTCTGCCAATCCTGCATCCCACATCCACTCACAGGCTTCAGGAGCGAGGCCTCTTCAGGCGCAGCAGCTCTCCCCATCCTACAGTGACTCCAGTAATGACCTTTAATAAATTCTCTCTTCCCTGGCTCCTGGGTTACACAAGTCTCCTAGTGTCGCTCAGGGTCAGAGCTGCTGCCTCTGTCTATGCAGCAGAACCGCCTCGTGGGCCACACCATTTCAAGGTTGACCACAGTCCTAGAAAACGAGCTCTGTGGGCTACAATTGGTACGAGAGGGTTTGTTTCTATAAATGTATTAATTCATTAGAGTTCTGATTCTGTATACTCAGGGAACCAGGATTTTGTGCTTTGGGAAGAATGCAGAGGGCAACAGATATCCACGAGGCGTGGGTAAGCCCTGCCCTCGTCCACACTGACTCCACTCATCCTGTGTAGTGTTTAATTCAGGTGCTAATCTACCATGTCTTAACAGTTACAATCTACTCTTCTGTCTCCTCAACAAGCTGCAAATAACACAAACTTCTCACAACGATGATTTATAAATGACTGGAAAAAAATTCAATCTGAATTGTAAAAATGTGTTTGTGTAGCTAAGGAATAAAGGGCTTCTGCTTGTCCCCGCCACCAGACCTCCCCAGCACATGGCGACAGGCCAGGGGTCAGGAGGCCAGGATGCTCCTCCTGATGATGTCTGTGCTCCTGCTGATGGTGCTGCTGGCATGGACACACTTCTTCTCCGAGTCACTCATTTCTGCATCAGGGACATACCCGTCATTCTCGCTGTCAGGCTTTAATTTGCTTTTTGCTTGTTCCTTGGCTAGAGCTCGGCCTAGGCCCAGGTAGGGGTAGTCTGAGTGCTGGTGGCAGGTGCCCTCGGGGACCTCTCCCTGCTGCTGCCGCTCCCCCTTCTTTGGAATCCGGAACCCCCCCCAGTCTTTCCCTGGGCTGGCAGGTGTTGTAGGCACTTGGACTGTGGTCTGACTACAGGTCACTCTGACTAGGGAGCCATTGCACCTGGGCACCATGTCCCTCCTGGCTCCAGGCTCCAACTGCCCCACTCCAGGGGAGGGGGCAGCTCTCATGTTGTCCAGATGCCTCTGGGACACATCTGTGGACCTGATAGGCTTGCGACTCTGTTTAAAAGGTCTGTCCTTCAAGTATCCTTTAATGAGGTCACAATGAAAACGATTGTCTCTTCTTTTCTCGTGGTCTGGTGTCACCACACCATTTTTCTGTTGTGCTGATATGAGGTCTTTTCAAAACTCAGAAAGCTCTCTGGGACCCCCAGCCCCTCCCTCACACCACACAGCCCTGGCTGCCGGGACAGGGCCTTGCCCTCACCCCCACTGCTATTCTGCAACAGGTCTCGATTATGGGGCTTTTTCAGGGAATGAACCAAGGAAGTACCCATTTGTTTCCTGAAGAATGCAGAATGACATTTCAAGTAATCTATCTTGGGAGCATCGGGACCCACAGAAGGACTATTAAACAGAAGCATGTGTTCCAGTGAGAAGGAGGAGCAGGAAGAAGAAGGCACACCTGAAACTCTTTCTTGCTCCAAGAGCTTAGTGTACAGACTGAACATCTGTTCCTGGACTCTGCACACAGATCG